TAACATGGTGTAACTCCTCAATGTGCTTCCTGCTCGCTGAGACACACCGCAGCCCCCTGAATGCTAACAAGGGTGTCCTCCGTCATCTCCCATCATGCACGGCTCCGCGAAGCGGATGGAAAATTGCTCACGGACCTTTGACAAGAAGGTTAAATCGCGGGAATTGACTCTACTGTCACACCCTTTAACTGGGTGCTTAACCAAGAAGAATTATCGGCCCGTATTAAATAGGTTAAGTGTAAAATGGGAAGATATGCAAGTTGCATCAGATGAGAGCGACTAGGGAGATAAATACAATGTTTAAAGAAATAATGGCTAGAGGAGATCCAAGCTAATTCACTGTGGTGACAAAGAATGTTGAAAGGTTGCATAAACTGAAAAGGTCAAAAGGCCAGACAAGCCACCCTCTGTTATCCAGTAGTTCAAATTGAGTCTGCAGAGACAAATGTCAAGACCGCGTGGATTAAATCTGCAATGTCTTTAACCACCATCCTCACCTTTGGCCTCATTAATACGGGCTTTTAAAAGACCTAAACGGTACCTCACAGAGTCATTAACTATGTGAAGGGTATGACTGTGCTCCACAGTTAATAAACTGTGTCGGGGAATGCAGGCTTTTAAAATAATTACTGTTTTCTTCGGGTGTGCTCCAAACTGTCCAAGGTATTACTGCTAAAACATTCAAAGAGCATTTCCCATTAAATATAAATGATCACACATCCTTAACAAGTTGAAAGTAAGAGCATCTGTTCACTCTTGTGAAACGTAAATCTGTTTGATTAGAAATGCACAGAATGGCAATTTGACCCCGGAAGGTTCCCTCAATAAGAATTTATTTTGTTAAAAAGAAAGAAAAAAAAAACAGCTTGTTTTTCTGTATGTCCAACTTGCATTGACGAAGGCTAATCATTCATCCATCCGTCCATTTTGTATAACTGTAGTGGCTCACAGGCTAGCACCTCCATTTTAAAGGTAATATACTGAATATTACTAGATTAACAATACTACAAAAATACAGATGTGATCAAAAATATTGGTACTCTTGCACTTAAAAAAAGTTGAAACTGACAAAAGTAACGGACACCTTTATTCCATAGACCGGACTCTTTGCTTTTGACTTGTGACTAAATTAAAGAAATGAAAAGAAAAGGAAAATATAGAAAAGATAAAACAAATAATTAGATTAATAATAAGATTATCTCATACAAACTCTTTAATTAGTATCTCAGGTGACTTCAGTCTTAACACTGGCCGACATTGTAAAAATTTTTGTTAGGTGATTTAACAAAAACAAGTACATGCTCTACAGCTTTTCATGTAGTTTCAGAATATAGTTACAATTTGCCGCCACACTTCTGGTTTTGTCACAATTTACAATTGAAGTTCAACATAAATTATAGCAAATGTTACATTAAAGAAACAGTTCATCATGTCTTTGCTGGTCACTTAGCTCTGCGAAACTGTTTCCGGTATGATTTTCTTGTGTATGAAGCATCAGGATTTTGTCTGTACAATAATCAGCCATCATATTTACATTCCAACGTCCTTGGTATCTTCACTCCATTTCACTAATATCTTGGTGAAATCTCTCACCTTGCTCCTCACTATACTCACCCAAATTTTCAGGAAAGTAATCAAGGTGCGAGTCTAGGAAATGCATCTTGACACTCATTCTACATCCAAGATCTTGAAAACGACATTTCATATCCTTGACGTGAACCTCATAGTCAGATGACTTCTTGTTTCCGAGAAATCCATCAAGGACTTTACGGGATTCTTCCCAGGCTTGCCTCTCCACTGTCACCATTTTGGCTGCAAATACACTGTCCTTCAGCAACCTTCTTATCTGTGGTCCGCCTTCCGAGTACTGAGTGACAGTACCAGAAAGCGGACCACAGTTCTGCATACAAAGGTTGGCGTCAGTGGACCCGCAGCAGCATACCTGTAAGTTTACATAACTGCAAGCTGCCTGTAAACCCTGCTGACTAGTTTGTACAAAAAATTAGTCTTTGACAGGTTACTGGTGATTTTATATGACTGGTATCAAAATGACATTATTAGGTATACATTGCATTGTATATGAAAAAAAGTCAAAATCACAGAAAAACCAGACGTGCTGGAGCAAAACTAAATATACTAAAAATGTTTGTTTATGAAGGGTGTTTGAAAAATGTCATTTGGTATTTTTCACCAAATTTGATGTTGGCTAGTGTAATCAGTCACCCAGCTTATTCGAATGTAGAATGATACTTGGCTGTTCTGTGTCATTGTGTGCGTCACACTGAACATGGACAAGAGAAGGAAAGGAAGAAAGTGACAGCCAAGCCGAGTTAAAATAAAGACTACAAGATTATCTCCAAAGAATGTCATGCTCCCATGACCACAGCTGCTAATAATATCAAGAAGTTTAAGGTCCTTAGGACAGTAGGCAACCTGTCTGGGTTTGGGCCCAAGAGGAAATTTAACCACAGGGTAACCAGATGTCGAGTTTGGATGGTGGAGAAAGAACCAATAAAAACTGCCAAACAGATCCAGGCTGACCTCTGAGATCAAGGTACAAAAGTTTCAATTTGCACCATCTGTCGCTGTCTGTGTGAATGTCGGCTCCTTGATAGAAGACCCAGGAAGATTCCACTTCTGAAAGACAGACACAAAAAGGCCAACTGCAGTTTGCTAAAATGCATGTTGACAAGCTATGGTTCTTCTGTCACAACAGTTCTATGTTTACAGAAGACAAATACGACACATTCAAAGACAAGAACACCCATCGTGAAACATGGAGGAGGTTGATTGTAGTTATGAGGATGTTTCACTGCCTCTGGCACCAGGTACCTTGAATCTGTGCAGAGCAAAACGAAATCAGAATATTGTCAAGGCATTCCGGGCCGAAATGTACTGCCCAGTGTTAGAAGGCTCTGTCTCAGTCGCAGGTCATGGGTCCTGCAGCAAGATAATGGCCCCCCACCCAAGAATGGCTGAAAAGGAAAAATGGGACGATTCTGAATTGGCCTGCCGTGAGTCGTAATCGGAGTCCGTATGAACATTTACGGAAAGAGCCGAAACTCCGAGTTGAGAGAAGGAACCCATCAAACCTAAGAACTGGAGCTGTTTGCTGAAAAGGAGTGGGCTACATTGCCAGTTGGTAAGTGCTGAAGGCTCATTCGGAGATGGATAGAGAAAGACTGATCAAGTTATTCCCTCAGAGGAGTGTGCTACTAAATATTAAGTTAGGGGTACCAATTATTTTGTTCCTGCAATTTTCATTTATTCTGTTTATAACAATAGTTTTAGTCATAAATCAAAAGCAAAGTGTCTGCTTTAGGGAAAAAATAATGGTGGGTGCCAATTCCTTTTGTCAGTTTCAACTTATTTGGCGGTAAATTATGATTCTTTTGTGTAAAGTGTAGAGGTACCAATACTTCTGGCCACTTCTGTAGTATAGTAGGAAAAATTTAATTTAAAATCTTAACAATGTACAATGTGTGAATAACAGACTTCCGTGCGTTTCGTGAACACAAGGTTTCATTGGCCCACTTTTACTTAATTAAATTTAAAATAACAATAATAATAATTTATTCTGAAAACTCCACTTGCCATAACTACTTTTCAAGTGCCTTGAAAATACAGCTATGGAAAAAATTAGGAGACAGTTTATTTGTTTCACTCATTTTTCAATTTATGGATGTGCGTCTGTGAATAATATATACATTTTTGCAAACTGCAGCCTGGATCTTCCCTGTTTCTCATTAATGAAGGGCTTCTTCCTTGCTTTATGGGACTTCAGTCCTCCGTCTAGGAGCCTGATATGAACTGTCCTAGCAGTGCACACCTGCACTTAATGTTTCCCACTCCTTTTGAAGGTCACTTGATGTCGTCCTCTGATTCATGAGAAACCGTCAGATAAGTTAACAGTCATCTCTGGCATTAGAATTTTTCCAGTAGAACCACAATTAAACCAGGTTTTAAAAATTGAGATATTTCAAAAAGTATAGAGTGGTCTTTTAATTTTTTTTTCTAAAGCTCTATATAGACGTGACATATTAGAGACAATTCTAGTTGCGAAAATTAACATGAAATTGGGCGAGAAGTGCATTCTTTATGTTCATTAATTAGTCTCTCTCTTCCAGGGCCAGGTCGATTCTCCCTACGCCCACATTCCGCCATCCGACCTCCTCTGATTACACAGCAAAACCCCAAACCTGTCAAAGCGAGGCTGTAAAAAAAGATCAGTGCGGATCGTTGGAAGAGACAACAAGCAGGATAGGAACGAACTGCACTAATCCCACGATGAAGCCCGTGTGTTACGGGTCCAGCAGTGCGGCGGCAAGCGCATCCAGACCCAGGCACCTCGATCCGGGGCTCCGGTGGGGGCGGATGGACCTCATTCACGTGGGGTGCCGGCAGGTGGTCCACGAAGAGCCGAGCGAAGCAGCGATTCTCGGTTTAACTGCGGCCCCTGTCAGCGTCCTTAGGTTATGGGAAAATTATGCTTGCGCAAAATGAAACTGGTAAAACATAAATATTACACTTTATGTGAGTGTATTCACAATTTGCAATTTATTAATATTTAAGTCGACAGCTAGGACGTCTAATTAACATGCTACCCCACGCTTAGAGGCGCTCACACACACACACACACACACACACACACCACGATTAATAGCATAGCGTACGTTCAATGACCGACCTCTTTGTCCCTCACCTACTCTTTGCCATTCGTGCACTTTCAGGCTATTAGTTTACATCCCCAGACCCACTGCCAGTTTCCCCGTTTTAATGAAACATGTTGTATCTCACACCTTAAGCCGGCCGCTTTCTTTTACAAATCGCATCGTCGATGAAGGACAGATAACTTTAAACTAACTGGGTGCAAATGAGTGAAATCGCCCACGCTCGGAAATTCAATTTCCCCCACCGTATGCAAAACCTTCTTTAGCATATTATTAATGTTATTCAGCTTTTGGAGATTTTAATTCCCCCCCCCGCCCAAGGAAGCTTTTCATCCAACGACGATTTATGACTACATTCACGGAATCGTCGATAGCCTACAGTTGCGATGTTGAACTGCACAGGTAATTACTTCATCGGAATCTAATCATTAAAGTAATTTTGTAGGTTATTTTACTTAACAGCCTGGGACTTGCAAGTCATTATAAACTATATATCCTATACAAATTAGTCATCGGGAAATTCATGGCGACGCGTGGCTCCGCACAGATGCCTATTCGCAGTTAATACACGGGTATGTATATATAGGTTAATATCGTGTTGAAGCAGGTTGCTGTCTTCGGAAATGATGTGTGCGGCGTTTTTATCACTTTAAAGCGCCGAAGGCGTCCAGCTCAGCGGCGGCGGCAGCGAGCGCATAGGAAGCTGGAGCAGCTGCCTTTCGGGAATTCGTTTGTCTTTAAGCAGCAAATATTTAGATCCCTAATTCCGCTCGGTTTTATCACTGTGTACCATCGAGCCAATTCGGAGACTTAGACCGGCCGGGGTGGCTGGCGGCCAGGGCGGCGAGGGAGGCTGCGCTTCGGACGTGGACATTCATTCCGCTCCGGCCGCGATCCGGTCCCTGTTGCTGCGCTAAGCATTTTCAACTACAGCAGGGGCGAGTTGAAGCGAAGCCCTTGTGTGAGGAGAGAAGAGCCACTAGATGTTTTTCCCTGCTACAAATTTCCCCGAAGAAGAGAAGAGAGCGGAACCGAGGGTCTGGGACTGGATCTCCCATTGGATTTAAGAAAAGCGGATTGTTTAAATATCATCAGCAACTGTTTGCTGCGGCCATTCAGCGGGTGCGCTTTGCACTCTCTCTCTCTCTCTCTCTCTCTCCCCCCCCCCATCACCTTGCTACCCCGTTGCTAAATAAACAGCTATACTTGTTTTCTATGAAGTATTTGGATACACCGCCATCGCCCATTCATTTGTATCTTTTATTTAAAAAGTCAAAACTGCGCCGCTGAAAGCTCCGAAAAAAAGGGAAGAAGACGGCGGACTGCGCCGGGTGGTACGCGCTCAGAAATCTGCATGTAGTTTCCAGAGATACTAAGAAAGCTCATTTTAAAAATACTTGCATATTAAGTGATATCTCGAGCGGGGGGAAATAAAAACCAGCGAAGCCGGACACACAGACTGATGCGCAGGAGGCAGGTAAGAGGCTCGTCCCGATATGTACCCAGCTAACTTCCACTGATTTGTAGATGTTGCTGAGACACCCTATGCATTCATTACCCTCAAATATAGAATAATTCACTTTTCAGAATAATCAGATTTAGTTGTTTTTTTTTTTGTTTTCCCTTATACGATTCCCTTTCCCCTCATTGTGAATAAGATACCGGTAACTGCAGTAGTATTGATACAGCGAGTCCCCCTTTTCAACCACGAAACTGCTTTTAATATAGCAAAATGAACGGCGGCACGGTTGGCTGTTCTGTAATGAGGTTTCAGAAGAAGTCGATCAAATCGCAGCCCCCTCTAGATCCATTGCAATTTCGCTGTGAAGAGCCCGTACGATGAAGCGTAATGAATGGGGGTGAACCGACATTGTTTTTCATTCAGCCCCTTATTCCGTGTAGCCTTTAGACATATGACTTTATTAACCCGCAAGAAGTCATTCATCTCATTTTGTCACGGGCCTGTTTTACACATGCCTTAGTTCGTGAAATAACTGCAAATCAGGATTATTTATCGGCTGTCAATTATCCAATTAAATACAGGGCCGGTTCAAGTGGCAAACGTAAGGTTAGGGCGCACGCCGCCTTAACGCGTGAAATCCGGCTAAGTAAGTTGAAGGATTTGTCAGCACGTTTGACTTACCGTGGTATACAGGCGAGTAGCTTTCATTAATCTTTGATCGTATTTGATTCACCTCACATAATGGCATATTGAGCCGCCAATTCATAATCCTAACCATGTGTCGCTTTCGTGTGTCGTTTTTTTTTTTTTTAAAAGCAAAGACGGATGTCAGAAATGACTCATTTTTTTTGTCTCATATGGTGGACTGATAATCGCAGAAGCATCCTTCTATTGGCATCGTTTCCTGGTATGTCATAAAGGTCCCTCTCCAGTGGTAGAAATGCAAAGATGGAGCTGATGTTAATGTAAGAGGAAACTTTATCTGCTCAGACTTGGGTTAGATGGCGCTGAAGGTTATTAATCAGGAACCGTACACTATGTGTAGGAAGAGAACGTATCACTAGCACCCTTACTGAAGTTCTGGTTGGCCTTGCTCCTCGTGGGTAATGCCGGCACTCTGGCTGTGCTCAGTGTGTCTTCATTTACATGGAAATTTTTGGTTCCCAGCCCCTTTGCCCCTATCCCCCTGTTGAGGGACCAGGAGTTTGTGATGGATATTAGGCATTTCCAACACAAAGCAGAGGAGATGCTGTCGCTCACACCTGATGCCTCAACGCTGGTGTTTTATCTGGGGAAATCGTTGGCCTGCTCACCATGAACCGTGGCGACCACCTAACATGCTACCTGTTACTCTGTCTCAGGGTGAGGTTACCCCTAACTGCTGTTTGTGGGCTGCTCTTTTGTGCATTACTGCTCTACACCGACATACATGCACATATAATGAAGATCCACCATAATCTTGTAGGTCAGTGCATTTCAGGCATGGATTCTGGAAACTCGCTAGTCGTGTGACTCGCAAGCAGTGCTGTAAATGTATTTGAAAGCAGTCAATGACGGGAATGTCTGCAGGATATGTGGCACGCTTTGGCATATTGAGAAAACCTCAGGACATTTAATATTTTTGTGGCTTTTTTCGACTTTTATTTTCGGGAGAATGTCTGCTGTTGTTCATGTCGGTTACTGTGAATCTATACACATTTCTGAAAATGGAGAGAGGAACTGAGATGTAGCCGTTAATGGAACATGGTACTATGAAGGACTGAGATTTAGCTATTAATGGTGCAAGTTAGGCAGTGGTGAAGTGGATAGCACTGTTGCCTCACACTTCTGAGACGTGGGTTCGAGTCTCTGCCATGGCTCCATGTGTGTGGAGTTTGCACGTTCTCCTTGTGTCATCATGTGGTTTCCTCTGGGTACTTAAGTTCTCCAGCCCCCTCACAGTCCAAAAACATGCTAAGGCTCGTTAGAGCTACTAAATTGCCCATAGAAGTGTGAGTGTGCCCTGTGATTGGCTGGCGCTCCATCCTGGTTGGTTCCCTGCCTTGTGCTGATAGGTTTTGGGATAGACTCCAGACTCCCTGTGATCCTGAAGAACACAAGTGGTTTGGATGGTATGAGGGACTAAGATTTAGTCATTAATGGGGTGAATGACTGGGATTTAGCTATTAATGGTGCGAGGTACTATGAGGGGCTGAGATTTGGCCATTAATGGTACAATGCCGGAAGGCACCAGAAAACTTTTGTGTTCCGTAGAGTCTGTTCTAATGTAAGCAGTTGGTGAGTTTTGGTTTTTATCTCCTATAATGTTCTTGCTTACACCCCCCCCCCCCCCCCCCCCCCCCGATGATCAGTAGCATGAAACAGAACTTAAAAATCCCACTCATCCAATGGCATATTTCCTTTTTACTGCAAAAACACTCACAGCTAGCCGTTCTTCTGCAGTAATTTTATTTTGTTAATTAAAATCCAGTTTTATTCCGTGCCTGATCAATATTCCCATAATAACACGTGGCTCTTATGTCTAACCCTGTGCCATATGCTGTTTCAATTGTGTTACTTATTGCTTTTCTCCCAGCATCAAATCGATGGCGATTCAATGAAGGCGGCAAGAAGTTGCACGCGGCACTATTTGGGGGGGGAAAGCGTTGCCATGGCATCCGTAAACACATATTATGTGCTGTTCAATTGGGGGCTTTATATTGTAAAACAGTCACCTTTATCATGGTTCTATAATCATTCTTTTTCTCCAGCAATTAATGCTGATTCTGTCTGGGCTTTGCTTCTCTCTCCTGTATTTTGTTTTGTTTGCTTGTAATTGTTTTCATATTTACACACTGGATGATGAGCATAGTGTAAAGGACAGAGGATATTTCATTGCCAAACCAGTTTTAATGTAGTTTTTCATTTAGAAGTAGGTGCGAAAATGACTGAGGCGGCATCACAGCCGATGAATAGACTCAAGGCTTCAGTCTAACTGGTTTCTTATGGATGACTGACTGGGAAAACATGTTTGCCGTCTGGAACAGCCCCTGGACAGAAGAGCAGAGCATAGGTGCATAAACTCATTGACGGCCAGATCAATTGACGGATAGGACAAGGAGGTGGGAGTTCTGCATTGAGAGGAAGGTTAAACTGTGCGCTGCATTCATCATCTGGGATGTTATATAAAGCGGCTCGGCGACGTGGACAATCATTTGCTATATTTACTTTCAAGGACCCCTCCGAGTACATTTTGCAACGATAAAAATATCACTGCTGTGGCAAACAGACCTTAAAACCCACGTCAAAGCCATTTTTTTGGACCTGCCTTTGGAAATGGTCATTATGTCCCCTGTAAGTGTGATCACTCATGTTAATGGGATGAAACTGCCTTCATTCCCCACCAGACTAATTTTGCCCGCAGTCAGAGGGGCCTGGGTAGATTAATGTGCAATATTAGCTCCCCAACTGCTGACGTGTACCTATCAAAACAGCCTTGGCTATACCTTTCTGTTTTTTGCTAACTCTTTTTTTTTTGTTTGTTTTGATCCTTATCGATTTGATTGTTTTACTTGCATTTAATGGCTTTTTCAATGACCTCTGAAAATGATTAATCTTCCAAGCAATTCCCATTTTCTGGAGCAACATGTGGAAAAGACAAAGTTTTGTTGTTTTTTTTTTTGTTCCTTGTTGAAATCCTTCAACCTGTGTCATACTGCAAAATTGCTGGTTTTAAGTCCTGGCAGCTAAAGTCCTCATAATACTATTGAAATCGGTAACAGGGATATCTCAGAAAATTACAACCTCAAGCATTTCTATTATGAGAAAACAGAGCCTCACCAGATTAAAGACCTAAACATGGGCTTGTTGTAATGCTGTCATAATGATTCTCACATCCCTTTAATAAGGAGACCAAGCTCAACAGTTGGAGTCTAATTTCCTGATGTCCTCTGGGATGTGTTCTGAATAGGGAAGACAATCCTTCCGTCGAATCGTCTTCCTGCCTTCTTTCCTGGTCAGGGTTGTGGGAAAGGGGGAAAAAATTAACATAACGGACAACTTCTGATGGCAGGAGAATGACACTGAAAGCGTTGCAGGTTTTAAAAATTCAGCAACACTTTTTCACACATCTTGGCTACAGTATCTGATGTAATCCAGTCCTCAGGGAACCACAGTCGGTCCATGTTTTTGCCGCCCTGCCAGACAGTCCACATTTTTGCTGCGTCCCAGCTTCCGGTAGGGAGCAAAAATGTGGACTCTCTGTGGGATCCTGAGGACTGGATTGGGAAATGATGCTCTTGAGAACAGGTGTTAATGAATTTAAAATATTGACTCTGTAAGGTGTTTCATCATAAAAGTGACCTTTAATCCAATTAAAAAAGTGTCGTTTTTAATCCAATTAACCTAGCAAAGTTTAGAATGAAAGTTTAGATTTCAATATTTTGTTAATAACATTCCCTCACATCTGCTAATACCATAGAAATGTCTAAATACAAAGTAGTATTTTGTTAAATGCATTTATCTTTATTTTAGTATTCTCAATATTCCTAATGCTGTACAGGAAAAATCAAGATTTACAGGGCAGGTTAAGCACCGTTTGTACAATATTTCAGGAACAGTGAAATGTATCCTAGGTAGGAATGTAACATTCTGGAAATGTTTTCTGAGTTTTAGGTGGCTTCTCATATTTTCCAGAAGAATAAGAGCAAGCATTTGAATTATCTATGATTTATGCAACATTTTCCAAAAGTAAAAAAAGCGGTTTCGAAAGAGCATTGTTAAATATAAATGTATGTGATAAAGTGAAAAATGGAACAATGGGGAGGGACATTTACGAAACAGAAGGTTTTTACATGAATATTTTTTAATAATAAGCCAGCATTGTTCAAGAAATGTCGTGGATGACACGCTGAGGGGACGTTACTCGGTTAAATAGACCGTACCTCTTAATTACTAACGGTAAATGAGCTTTTGTATTCTGCTTGTATAGCTCAATGTCTTATCTGATGTCCTGATTCAAATCATGTAATATTAAT